CTGACTTATGCCTGCAAGGACAGTTGAGACTAGAGTTAAATCCAAAACGGACTCTGTTCCATTAACAACATTACATCTGGTCCCCCTACCATCATTCAGGCACACCAAATTGCATGTATCCATCAATTCCTCAATTACCTTACCATTTTTATCTGTGTGTGTGCCACCCCACACTCTGCTATGGGCATTAAAATCTCCACACCAAATAACTCTACGACAGTCACTGCCTTCAATTGAACGAAGACGCGGCAGCTCCAGTCTGGCGCAAGGATTGTAGAAATTCACAATAACAACAGGTTCATCCCTGTCCCAAACCTCAACAGCAATATACTCCAAATCATCGCCTTTACACAAACGTTGCACACCCTCCCCCTCCATCACAGTCCATGGCATTTCTTATTATTTTGTACCCATACAACACAAAATCCAAAGAAGACTTAAGCCAAGATTCCTGTACACAAATGACATCCAGTTTGACACCAAGTAGTTTGACGAAATGCTTCAACTCTTGGCCATTGACCAACAGACTCCTTGCATTCCATTGAAGAATAAGTACCACGAGTACACAAAAGAACATCACGTTTCCTGACTTGACTGAAAATTGAGGTTGTCCCTCACGTCTTCCCATGTCAGTCCTACTAACCCCAAGTGGTTAATCGCCGCCTTAACAATGAGCTGAATTTTCTCCTGCTTAGATCTCACATCAGTTGGCTCCTTTGTCTCTGCGCTCACTATCCCCTTTAACAGGTCAGCCTGGCGGCTGATAGGCCACCTCGGGGAACGCCCCCACCTCACAGGTGCCTACAGTCCACAGTGGATTAGAAGAATTTTGTGCAACAACACTAAAATACATAATATAAATATGAGGATAAAACCATGCAATATAAATATCAATAAAAAAAACATGCAATATAAATATCACAATCAAATCATGCAAATGAAATCAACACTATGTACCAATACACAGGTTGATAAAACATAAAAACATAAATTTCCACTGTGTGACATTTACTCGCACTGTTATAACTGGAGCCTCGTCGTCTCGTCTCTCTTTATACTGTACTGTTTATAGCGGAGATGACAATAAAGTTTACTTTGACTTCAGCACAGCAGCAAGCAGGCGCACCGAGGGCTCTCGCGCTCACTTTAAAGAATTTTGAAAAAACATTGGTAAGTCTGTATCATAATGTCTGGTGTTTTCGTGTTTGTTGGTTTGTTTTTATTTTGTTTTATTTTGCGAGTTGGTTATCAGATGCTGCTCCAGCCAGCCAGTAAATCCCCTGCCAACCCGCCCTCTCCTTCCTGTGCTGCAAGCAGCAGGCGCACCTCGCAAACAGAGGGCGCCCTTACTCCCAGCAACTGGACGGCAGGAAACCGATTGGTGCCTATGCCATCTCCAAAATGCGCTGGCTGATGTTGGGGCAGCATGAGTACGAGCAACTCTTTTGGTGGAGATGCCTGTGATGCCGCCCCCACCACGATACCGCCCTGGGCAACCGCCCATGTCACCCTTATCAAAAAACGCTACTGGAGGTTGTCATAATTCATCCATGACAGGGTTAAATAACAATAATTGCAATGAAAATAATGTTGAAAGACCAGTGGGTGACAGGGTATAGAGTGACACATGAGTGTCCAATGTAGTAGTTTATGTGCATGTATACATTCAACACTGACACAAATACAAGGAAACAGTCTTTGAATAGCTGTTCACGGTAGTGACCACTATGCGTGAAAGGGTTAATAATACCCTCTATATTATAATTTGATCTGTTTGCTCCATGTATAATTTTAACTATTTCCTTTATTTTATTTTAATGTATAAATGCCACAAGAAATTGTCTACCAGTCATATTAAACAATGCTGATCAGTCTTTTTACCATTTCATTTATATGGAATCTTTTGGTTTTCTTTGCACTTCCCTTTCGTCTCCATGGATATTGTCCAAAATGTATTATCCAGAATGCAATCTAGAGCTGTTGATCCATCCATCTCCGACCCAATTTACTAAGGTACTGTATTATTTTATACATGTAACCTAAATGTGCATTGGGTATGATACTTTCTTCTAGCTCTAGTGCATGTACTTACCCTGTCGTTACTCAGTACTTTGAAATGGCTAACAGCTAAACAACAATTCAGTCCAGGTTTGAGCTTATTTGTGGAAATATGGAATAAATATGGAAGTCGTCTGGACAGTTGACATTTTGTTTTTATGAGAATATTAATTATTTTTTGAGGATGCACTGAAAGCATGCAGTTATCCTGGAACATTTATTTACTTTAAAATAAATATAATTTAATTCTTACTATCCCACAAACAATGATACAGATATGACTTGTAATAACTACTTACTCTGTGCTGCATGAAAATGTCCAAGCAGTATTATCCAGTAAATAATTTTTCTTTCCATGATGGTTGTAGTTACTTCTCACTGCTCTCAGCACAGACTGTTTTTATGTCTGATTGTGCATTGTACTTAGATCATGAAATGCTCCTCCCTCCACTATTCAAAGGAATGTTTAAGGATTTGTGACAGAGACAACGTTCATAGAAAAAAATAGGTATGGGCACGGGAAAATAGATATCTGTGTAATGTAGGACAAATTCATTTTTACTTTTTAATTATTTATTAATATTATCACACACTTACACTATGGGCCTTGCAGCATCACAGGGTGACAGTCCAGTTTCAACAGTTAATGTCACTACAATCTCTACAAGTTTAACTTAGTTTGTCGTATCTGGTAGTGTCTGATTTGTAGTGTCTTCATGATCTTATTAAGTAAAATTCTCATTCTCATTGTAGGCTATGAATGGAAGCACTCTGTAGGAGTACATCACTTAGTGTTTATGAGTCATAAGCAAAGCATTTCATTTGATTTTAATAAAGAGACAATAACACAAAACAACAAATATAAATTGTTAATTGTAGATTAGAATTGTTCTTGTTGTCCACTGCACATTTTTTAATACACTTAGCTGACGTTTTTTTTCCTTTTAAGAAATATAAATAGCTCGTGTACATAAAGTGCCTTACATTGCATGTAGTAACTAAAACTTCATGAGGTAGGCAAACAGGTTTTTCATTATGTGTTGGACTTCCTCCTCAGAATAATTTTTACTGTGTGTGTGTGTGTGTGTGTGTGTGTGTGTGTGTGTGTGTGTGTGTAGCTGTTTTAGGGTTACAAGGTTATAGTTAGGTTTAAGGTAAGTATGAAGGTTAGGCAATAATTTCTGATGGTTAATGTTATTGTAAGGGGCTAGGGAAAGCATTATGCCCATTCAATGTCCTGACTAAGGTGTGAAAATGAGAGCTGGTATGCTTTTCCAATGTGGAGGTACGTAAAGACGACAGGAGAGGTCTCAGTGTCTCACTCCAACTTTATTACTGGATTCACCAGAACTCCACATCCAAAAAGCGCCCAAATCTGTGAGTGGAGTCACCTGGTGGTCCGCCACAATATATACTGGTCAAAAGTTTTAGAGACACCCTAATCTTTCCAGTTATTTATTGCAATTTAAGTAATCCAAGTCCAATGAATAGCTTGAAATGGTACAAGGTTAAGTAGTTAACTGCCAGAGATTAAAAAAATGTTAGGTTACCCAAAACTGAAAAATAATGTACATTTTAAAATTATACAAAAAGACCTTTTACAGGTAAAACAAAATGGGCTAACAATTTCAAGGTTTTATGCAGCAATGGAGGTTGAATAGTATTGTACTGCACAAAGTAGTGTGTCGCTACAAAAATGGTGGGAAAAGGGCAGTTAATAATGGAAGAGAGACAGACTATCATGACACTTAAAAATGTAGGTCTTTCCTACAGAGAAATTTCAAAGAAACTCAGGGTGTCAGTGACTACAGTTTCCTTCACCATCAAAAGGCACTCCGAAACTGGGGAAAACTCTGACAGGAAGAGGTCTGGAAGACCCAAAGCCACAACTGATTCGAGGACAATTTTCTGAGAGGTAACAGCTTGCATGAAAGGCTGCTCACAGGACAACAGCTTCAGGAACAGCTTAATAGTGGTTGTAGTAAGCAAGTCTCAGTTTCAACTGTGAAGAGAGTGAAGACTGTGAGCTGCAGGTTTGATAGGGCGAGTTGCAGCAAAAAAGCCATTGCTAAGATGTCACAATAAGACAATGGCCATGAAACACCGCCACTGGACTACTGAAGGCTGGAAAAAGGTATTATTATTGATGAATCAAAATTTGAAATTTTTGGTTCATCGCGCTGGATCTCTGTACTCCGCCAAGCAGGCGAAAGGATGATTCTACAATGTGTGGCATCAACTGTCAAACATAGAGGAGAGAGTGTGATGGTCTGTGGCTGTTTTACTGCATCCAGGATCAGTTTACCAGTCACTGAGTACAGGTCAGTTTTCAATTTTACATTAGTCCATTTTAAATGACCTTTGAATGCAACAGAGAATGCATAGAATGCAACAGCATTTCTGGATAATGTTAACCTGTTCTATTGTTTTGCACATGGTAGACATTTAACATACATTCACAGACATGGGGAACTGTGCTCACAGACAGGGATTTCTGAAAGTCTTTCATTCCTCAGGGGTGCTCTTATTCTCCAACATTCTGTTCAGCAATTCACAGCTAAGACACCTCTGTTCCTATATATGTCATTGGGGAACACAGAAATTTTTCCATGCTGGGTATAGTTACTTTATTTATTTTGAAAACCCTGTATACACCAAACTCTTTAGAAGTTAGTGAAATTTTAAAAAAAAATGGATTGGGCAATAAAATCAACCTTTTCTTGCTTGAAGTACACAAGGCTCACATTAAATCAGGGGTCAAATGAATTATTCTGCATAAGAAATCAAAATATCCATAAAAAAGAAAGCTGAATGTTCAAAGACTATTACAAATAGGGGCAAAATAAAATTTGCGTTAAGCGGTAAATATAAACACGAACTAAATAGCAGTTATCGCCATCGTTCCCATGTGGTTCTTGTTTCTCCCGACTGTTTCAGTGTGACACACACGGCGCATGCTCATTTGTCCATGACTCCTGGCTTACTAGTGAATTTTTTTCAGCATTAGCTAAACTTTGAATAGCTAAAACAACAATTTTCCTTGTGTTGCATGAACACCTAGTCCGTGTATGTGCAGTGCCGCAATATTGGGGCTTTTTATGAAGACAAACAAACTGCGGAAACAGTGTTAGTGCGGCTTTTTGCTGGTGGGTTTGCTAGCTAGCTAAACAACAGAGATTGGTTGTTATCTAACTTACATACATTAAAGTGGACTTCTCAGTCTTTTTTGCAAATAATTAAACGTTTTTTAAGCTTGGAAAAAATTGCAGTACTGTCTCAACCTCAAGGTAAGCTCTAAATTGTGCTGGCATGGGCATCGCTAAAAGAGTGCTCGGCCGCTTCGGTATTTTTTGACTCGTACAATAATGTGAGTTCAGTCCCGTAAAAGCAGAGAATGGACAGAGACTTGTTGAGGCAATGTCTGACGTATCATGGACAATCCCTGTTCAATACGCTGAAATGTGAACAAACGGAAAATCCAGACTTCCAAGCGGTGGTGTCTGACCTCTGCAAAGCCACGTATGAGAGGTATGTCTGAGTTTATGAGTACCACGGCAGGCTGCTGCAGAATGCCAAAAGTCATAAGTACAGACAAAATGCTAGCGCATCATTATTTTCTCTTAAAGTGTTAGACAAAGATGATATTGCATATAGGTTGTGAATTAAACGCTCTGAAAACAAAGATGAGTGAATATCACAGTCTTATCGCCAGTATAATTTTACTGTTTAATTCTCCTATTGCTCGTCCAGCAGATTTTCAGTTCATAAGCTGACATCTGCCTAGAAATGGTGACGCTAATGAGGAATTTGCAACTTTTGCTCGAAAATTCTCTGGATTTAAAATGACTTATAATTAAATTGCACAAGAAATATGCAGAAAAGGACTTCACCACACCTAACAGCTTTTGAATTTAGGTATTTTCAGTTCCATTGCCAGAGATGTCTAAAATCAAGCACCTAGACATGCAGTCTGACTTTACAGACATTTGTGAAAGAATGAGTCATTATAGGGAGCTCACTGAACACATGTGGGGTACTGCAAGACCATGCCACTCCTGCAGCAAATCAGTTTATAAAATGTCTTCACTCCCAGGTTAGGTAGGAAGCAGACCATATGAACTAGACAGGCAACAAACTTTGACAGGCAGCCATCGAGTCAAGTCACTTTGCAATTGCAATAAAAAACACACTATTAATATTTAGAACTATACATGCAATGTACACTAACAAAGAAATGCAGCCACAGATATAAAATTGCAAAAATACGTGCTATAAATGTAGCTGCACAAAGTGATGAATGACCTCTTTTACATTTCAAATCAAGAAAGTCTGACCTGCAGCAGCCCCTCCACTCTGTTTGCAGTTGTGCTGGGTGCAGTGATTGATGCAGAAGAACTAAATTCATGTGAAACCATTAATTAAACTGGGCATGCAGTGCAGTAACACTTACCAGCGATGTGGAACTTTGTGGAAGTTTGTTAATAACAAATTGTATGACTTACTAAAACTTATAGTTGAAGTATATCAGTATAATTCAGCTTAGGGGGCACAGGGACTTTACTGGATGAGCTGTGAGCCCCACACTGCTCCTGAGTATTCTGTGATCAGCTGCTCATCAATTGCTGAGGCACACTGTGTCAAAAAAAAAAAATCCCCAACACTCTGCTGACCTGATTACTGCAGGGTTCCAAGTCTCTGACATTAACATCAGTACATGAAAGGCACACCATGAGCTTCATGGCATGGGTTTCCATGGCCGAGCAACACCTGTAGGTGTAATGTGTCAGTGGCGCACTACTTTTGTCCATGTAAGCATATGTTGTTTCCACACATGTTTTTCCCCCCAATCATTTGTGAATGGTGTAGTTAAACTAAAATACCATTGTATGAAAAGAGGTGCAAAAAGTACACATCGGTTTTTGACTAGCTACTGCAGCTGTCATTGTAGAATAAAAATCAGTATTGTAATACAATAACTCTCAATGAAGGTCTGTGAACAAAGAGCAGGAGTGTGTATTAATTCAACCTTTTTCTGTTGCATTACTTCATTTTCCTTTGCACCATTATACAAGAATTAGTTTGTCATAGGTGAATTCAGTCCAGCTGATCTTACTGATCTTTCTTTTGTTGTTGTTCTGTGCAGTAGGTGTGAAGAGCAGAGCAACCCACTTGTGGAGCAGTTCATTGCCAGGAAGGCTGACATCCTGTTCAGTCCAGTATGGAGAACCGCTGGTCTTCGAGGAGAGGAGCACGAGGAGGAGGAGGCTGTAGGTGTGTGTTGTTCATTCTTGTGCGTGTAAATGAAGATGAGTATGACTTGCACATAGGCCCTATCTGATGTTGAGAAAAGTGTCTGTATTTTGTGACACACTGCATCAGATCTGTCTTCACTCTTTCAGAGCCCTATGCAGTCATGCCACCGATGGAGGTATTCATGGAGGTGTCGTATGAGGAGAGGCGATCCATGATTTACCGGGATTTGGAAAGAGGAGACATTGTGGTGGGGAGGATCAACAACATTAGAGAATACGGCTTCTTTCTCACTCTGTTTTGCACAGCAGGAGGTCTGAAAAGAGACATTGAGGACTTAGAGTTGTCGGTAGGTCAACAAGTTCAGTTCAGTTCCTTTTGAATGTCATTGAGTTATGTCATAAATCATCACTGTAGAAGCTGAAAATTTGGGACTGTTGGCTAGTTGTTGATGAAAAACCGGCTGTGTAGCTCTGGGAATACCCGAGTGACTGCCAGTTCTTTCTTTGCGTGGAGTTTACACAAGAATACAGTCATGCTTAAAATTCATGTTATGAGTCCATGTGATGATATCTGTGCTGTAATCGTCATTTAGTCTTATGCTTTACGGGACGTACAGGAGTGGCAGTTCCAAAAGAGTTCTGCTTTTCATCTTCGTGTCTGTTGTAAAAAAAAAACACCTGCATATTTGTCATCAAGCCACCTCAACTGAGGTATTACAAGTGGAAAAAATTCCTCAACAGAAAGCTTCTTGGAGAGTTTCTGTTGTCAGACTGTAAATGGTGCAAATGTTGTGTAATTAAATTTGCTGTTCTGTCCACCTGAACTAAATCGGCCATCCACCTTGCATTTTACTATTGTTTCATAAAGGCACATCTTTCTTCACCCTTCAGGCTCTGTGTCATGTCAGAGAAATTCCCTCCACTGGCAGCCATGATGATCCCCTGGCGTACTACCAGATTGGGGACTTCATCAGAGGTTTGTGTCTAACACAAACAGAACACTGAGGTCCAGAATCATATACTGCAGTTCTTTTCAGGAGCCTTTAAAACATTTTCTAACAATAGATTTATCAGACAGACAAAACCTGCATAAAGTATATTAATCTAGCTAATACCTTCATTCCGCGGAAAATTGGCCTATGACAGTATCTTTTTCCATTTGAGGCTTTTTTGTGTCTCAACACAACCTATATCTTAAAGTTTTAGCCTTTTATCCTATTTTAATTTTCAGGTTTGCAGTGCAGTTATAATCATAGAAATGCTTGCTGCTTTTTGAACTCCATAGTGCTGCTTCGCAGTACTGCAATGGGATATGTAAAGAATGATGGTCTGATCTTTTCTTATTCTGTAGCTGGAGTGAAAGATATTGATCGCTACCAGGAGAAAATCACAGTGTCGCTCCATCAGGCCTGTCTTTCTCCGAGCTTGGAGCACATCAAACTTGGTGTCATTACCAAGGAGGAGCTGCCTGTTCATTACAGGTAAAGAAACACAACACGGATTGCTGAAAGAAGAAAAACAAACCTGCTTAGCTAGTTCGAGTGAATACTGTTGCATAGCATTGCATTAAGAAATGTCACACAAGCGTTTGAACTAGTGTTTCATATCAAGCTTCAGTTGATTGTAGCTGCAGCAGACCATCTGTATTCGCAGTCACTGCTCATGTAAAATGTAAAGTTTGGGGATTCAATTTTTCTTTTTTATATTCATGCTTTTTTTCAAGAATATGATGTATTTTGTTACACAAATGAGCGGGCTGATATGTAGCCTGAGCTTTTATATA